TACGCGCCCAGCGACCACCACACCACGAAGACATGCCAAGAAGGCGAGAGAAATACCTTATAACGTAACCAAAGGTACATATATATAGCATAAAGCTCCAAATTGATGTATAGAATAGAAAATAAGAGAATGATAATCATGGGATCTCTATTAAAAATTTTTGCTGAGATAAAGTAACTGAATACACGAAGAGTAATTGTTAACTATCAATCAACCAATCTTTTCTTTGCTTGAACTAATATTACGGTTTCCAAAGCATAAATCCTTGTATATTAAACTCAGCTCAAATATATTTAGTTAACTCAAATATATTTAGAGCAGAAGTGATTTTAATAAGCTGTGGGCACTGTTCATATAATATGAATTAAAAAAAATTATTTATTAAAGTGTTTAAGACAGTTTTGAAAGCAATTTATTTAAAGTAGCAATATAATTCAGAAATAAATTAATGAATATATGTAACGGAATTTTAAAAGCAATTTATTTATTGTTGTGTATAAGCATACCGGAAAATTATGTATTTTATTTAACTCAATTTTATCATAAACTTGTTAAAATAACCGTGTATGTAAACAGAAGGTAAAATTAAAATTTTTCAGACTCTTTCTGGCGGCTACACTTCAACATTTGCTGATAATAATGCTTCAGATATCAAATATAACGCCTTTTCCGTTCATGGAAGATTGACCGCTATAATTGAGACAATACAATGATGAAAACAAATTAGATCGTTAACGGTTTGTTTCTCGCACATGTGCAGATCTGTAATCGGTTTCTCGCCAGTGCATTGCAAGACGACGCCTTGCCTGAGCCGACGTATTCCAAATCCACTTCATCACCATTAGTGCTGAAGAAGATAAGTTATAAATACATTCATGTTTCTTCATTTTGCTACTAGACACTTTATTTAATTTTATTTCGATGACAGATCGTCAACAACAATGAACCGGTCTATTACTGAAATAATTAATTATATTACATTCGTGCAAAGGATTGTTAAAGTCACAGTAATACATTATTAGGGTTATGATACTGTGACAGCTCGGATTTTTGCGAATTTTATGGGATATGTTTCAGATTTATTTGGTGTATTTTAATACTATCATTTTTAGTGATTGTTGCACCTAGTTTTATTACTATGTTCATTTGAACCAACGTTTCTGATTTTTTGTTTTTATTCGCGTCTGCTCTCCGTACTCTCTCCCATCCCCATTATATATAATTGCTAACATCTACATGTACAGGTACAGTAATAACACTACAAATACAGAGATAATTTTATTTTTATAATATATGATGAAACATTGCTTTGGTAACTATATACATTTCATGAAATTTTATAAAACCATGGGCACATTCAAGGGAAACTTAAGGCTGTTTGCACCACTCAGTCTACAATATTTCTTGTTTTCCATCGGCTGCTTAATAGAAATGTGTCACTTTATTTTTTTGTTTTCACATCTGGTGCGTACACCAATAAATCGGAAGTTTTTTTGACTCCTGAGCAAGCCACATACAGCTGCCCAAGTACTTTTTCTAGATATTACCCAATATGCGTTGCAGTGCTACTTAGGAAAGAAGGTGTTCGGGTTTTGATTATGATTATTGAACCATAATTAATTTTTAATTATGTTTATCGAAGCAGGAATTGGAGTGAGGCGCTGCTTTTGCACAGCAATGCGTACTCGAAGGTTTTCAATTCTTACTTCCTGTTGCTCGTCTGTTTCAGACGAACGGGCTTAAGTACCGAGAAGAACCTAATTAAAAGTTGCAGCAAAAGTTATCCAATCCTCTTCCTCTAACATGTAATTACCAGTAATTCTAGGAACTGTTTTGTACGCAGTAGTGTTTGTGTTCAAATTAGATACTTGATTTATGATTCGAATAATAACCTTAAAATTTATATTCTTCTAAACTTGTAATTAATATTTTTAATTTCCTTGGAATAATAATTCTTATTCTAATTTAATAATTATTTATTTCGTAGAAATAGATAAATATTAAATTTTAATAGTCCTTGAAGTTAAATGAGTTTCAGCTAAGTTAACTCAGGCTTGAATGCGACATATTGAATGTTTCGTAAATTTGATCAGGTAATTGTAAAATGAAAGATTGATAATTCACAAAATTTAAAAGTTCAATTTTAGAAGTGGACAAATTTCACATTTATGTACAGTAAAAATGTGTTTCACAACATAACTGATAAGTATATGTAATTGAATAAAAGCTGCTATATAACAGACGCAAAGAAACATCACAATGTCCTGCAGAAATAATTAAATAAATAAATAAAAATAAATAAATAAAAATAAATAAATAAGCAAAGAAGCGTCTATTGATGATATAAGCAATAATTTACTAAGATACATCCGCAAAGAGGGCTTCGCAAAAGCAGCAAGTTAAGTGGTAAAAAGTAAGTCCTGTATAGTTAAGTACGTGCCAAAGTAGTTTCCGAACTGAAGCGACACAAGTAAACACAATTTGGAAACTGAAGCCTATTAACTGCCTTTTATCTCAAGGAACTTTTATTCCACGTTCTTTATCAAGCCTCAGTTGCTGTTCACAGATCACCGATTCTGTCCGAGGAGCTGACGTAAACGATCAGAGCCTGGTTGCCATCTCCCTTTCAGAAGTCCGAAAAAGTAGAAAAGAAAAGCTATCGCAATTTGTCCTCTTCCCTCTAGGGTCCAGGGTCTTCCGTAACGCAGTTACATTTCCGCTGAACTCGCTAGCTCAATAGCATTAGGTCACTTATCGCTACAGGCGAAGCCCTGCTATCTCTACGCTATTTCTCTTTTTGGGAAGAGTCGTTCCCCTTAACTTCCATTGCGTAACTGACTACTAATATTCTCAATGATGGACGAATAAACTTCTAAACTACTTCCAATAAACGTTTTTGGTAATGTTCAAAAGAAGAAAAAACATACGAGTTCTGGGTGTGTATGGTTTGAAACTTAATTTCTTAAGCTTGCTCGAGAAATTTTACTTTATGACCCTTTATGCAAAATTTTATTATATAATGATTCCTAGAAAATGTATTTTCAACTGTAATAAAACAACCTTGTTCATAGTTTCTCTCGTACTTCTAATAAAATGCATATATTTTGCTACATCTGACAAAAAGCGCTAACATTTCTTGTAATTTTTAACGTTAATGATTAACTCATAATGACTTTCTGTGTCCAGTTTGTTTCCTTTCTTTATCAAATCAAATTTATACGAGTAAAAAGACATAGAATGCTCACAGCAAAAATGTAATCACATGAAATCGTAGGACTGAATACAAAAATATTGATCTTTTTTATGTACAACGTAATACAGTTAGACCCCGCTTAACGCTGTTTCGTTTAGCGCTGTTTCGGTTTAGCGCTCTTTTATTTCAACCCGGGGATTCCACGAAATCGCTTCCAGCATACGGGATTCCCCGAAATTATGCAGCGATAGTTTCAAATACATATCCGAAAGCGTGTACTTGTATTTCTTGTTGGTGCGGTATTGTACAGACATATTTTGAAGGGGTAAATGTGGAAGATGTCGAAGAAATAATCAGAAGCAGCGGCTAGTATTTCTAATGATGAGCTCAAGGAATAACTGAACAAGAAGAAAACAAAAATGTTGACAGCAGTGATTCAAGAAGAGCAAAAAGAACTTTCGATGGCGTTTGTAAAAGGAGTTTGTTCTACCGTAACTGAATAATGGATCATCATTGAAATGATCCGAATTTTGACAGGAGCTCAAAAGTAAGGCGGGTGTTAGAGATGCTCTATTCGTTATGAAGAACTTAAGAGAACAACGCAAAAGAAAAGGCAAACAACAGTAGTGCTTTTGTCACAAAGGCAGGACACTGAACGCGGAGGCTAACAATATGACTGACTGAGAATTTTATTTGTTTTTTTAAGAATATTCGTTTTGTTATTTATATTTTGTTTTCATTTTTGCAAGAAATAATAATGTGGATATAATTTGGGCTTTAAGAAATAAATGTTTGGTTTTATTTTTAAAAAGCATCTTTTAATTTAAACTAACCAATTTCCTAGCCATCTTCCCCTAACCCCAATATTTACATGTAAAGATAGCCTCGTTTAGCGCTGTTTCGCATTACGCTCTACTTTGATGGAACGTATCCCCCGCGTTAAGCGGGGTCTTACTGTATAAGTATCTCACTCTGTAGGTTTTGATGATAATTAACTGTGGAAATGTCATCTAGTGATGAGGGTTATAACTGTTGTATTTGCGTACATCAGTATGGAACCCCTCTCATTTACATTCACAGGTGTCTGGAGCAATTAGATAAAATGCAGTCCTGTTGCCGAGTGCCATATCTTTTCTGTGAGTAGTCGAAATTGACACTATTTATTTACACGCTCATTTTAATTTTTATTTATATCTTGTAGCATAGAATCGTATACTATGCTACTGCAGATATTCAGTCATATTTTAAAACTGAACACAGATATCAATATAAATTACATCTATTGAAACAGTACTTTTAATTTAATTGTGTAGCATTAAACTTTTATATCTTACAGCAGTAACAACTGCTAATCGAGAACCAACTTCTACATGAATGATTTTCTACCTTAAAATATTTTCAAACTCCTGCAGTTAGTTATGAAAACATTACAGAGATTTGCAGAATTTTCATTGCTTTTCCAAGATTTTTGAAAAATTTTTTGATGAATATTAAAAATCCATTTAATTTACTAGTTTATCAGCCACGTTTTCTTATATTTCAAGCTGCAAAGGCTTTGAATTAAATTTATACTGAATTTAAAATGAAAATATCAGTACTAAAAGTTAAAATGTGACCTATTGATCAGCAGAATAATATTTTCTGTAACTAACATTAATAGCGTGTGTTATAATAATCACGTTCTGCTTTACTCAGTAATAAATCTCTCAAACATTTCTTAACAATCAGTTGGCAATATTGTAAGCCCACTATTGAATATTTTAGTAGTTATAAACAATGAATTCAGATTTATGTTTTCAGTTTAAATATGCAGTATATGAGAGTCATCACAGAAGGAATTTTAAACTTCTACGCGCAACTGAAGGAAAGATTCCCGCGAAAGCACGACGTCTTTACAGAGAACGAATTGAAGAATTATGAAGATCTTACAGTTCTAAATAGAGTAGAAATCGTCAGATTATATAATCAGTTTGTAAATTTCAGTCCCAGTTTGGAATACGGAGAGAAAAATCCAGTTTTACCTCCCCATCATCTGTGCTTCACACCTGCTCTGAGGATGAATCCTTTCAAAGATCGAATCGTGAAAGTCTTTACTACTGAAGAAGGAGAATTCAGCTTTGAAGACTATCTCAATATGATGTCTGTCTTCAGTGACAAAGCTTCAGTGATTGTCAAATCCGACTATGCTTTCCGAATTAATGACTTTGATGATGATGGTTTGATTTCTAGGAATGACCTTCTTGAACTATTAAAGAGAATTAAGGGAAATAACGAACTCAGTAAATCAGAATGTGAAGAGATAATACAAAACGTTTTAGCAGAAGCCGATTTGAATGCAGATGGCTATATAGCTTACCCAGAATTTGAACATCTCGTGTTAAAATCACCAGATTTCTTAAATTCTTTTAGAATTCGGCTATAATATCTTACAAGTTCAATACTGATAATCTTCAGAATTGTCATCCGTCACTATTGAAACAAACGAGAGCTATATAAGTAACGGACGTTTAATCAAATATGTTTTAGGATGTACAGTAAACCTGTACTAGAAAAAATCATCAAAATATTTTGATTAAATTCAGGATGAAGTGCATCGACTCTAAGACAATACCAACAACAAAATAAAAAAAGATAAAGGGTAAAAAAAATATTTTTTCATTGTTATGACCGTTTTTTCTTGGGTTTATTATTCAATAAAAAACACGATTAATTTATGTTCATGTAATTAACAGTAATTGAATCAGTTTTGATTACATCAGAAATGTCTCAAGAATATGGAATATGAAGGAGGAAATGAACTTAAGGGAGGATATGAAGTTCTCTGATTCCAAATAAGTGATATCCAAGAAAACTGTAACGAAACAACACTAGAGACAAATTTGTGGTTTAAGGTGAACGAAATTTGGAAAACATAATTATACCTACATGAATTAGTCGGTCATGTACCTAAATTAACTATTTCTGAAAGAGGCGAACTTTTCTGTTGGAAGGTTTTCAGTCTGAAATGATACGAGAAAGAAAAATGAAATTTATTTTGTAATTTGATTGCAGATGACATCATGTAATCACATTATAAAATGCATTGCAACTGATTACGTTATATAATATAAACTAATTAATTTCTGAGAATGCAAAATTACTGCAGTGACCACAAAAATTATTTTAGTAACCAGATTTATGTTTTACCTATTTTACCGTTTGCTGAGGTTAATATTAATTTAGTTTAACTCCTGTTTCTCGAACCTTTGCAAACATCTCATTGTTTTCTTTAGTTTAGAAATGTTATTATATCTCTGCACAACTTGTGTGGTTACAAATTATTATATATATTAATACAAACATTTTACCCTGTACAATTAAAGAACTTAAGGTAAATTTCAAAAATGGTAACTAAAATTTTAACTCATTAATTAGATTTTAAAAAATAAATATTTCTTCTTTTGTTTGAAAGATGTATATTATATAATTACTCCTTTTTTATAACGGTTTAAAATTAAGAATATCTTAATTTTATTGTAATTATGGTAATACAAAACTGAAGTATCTTTTTATTAAATAATAAAAATTTCCTTTGTAATTTACACATGCATGATTGGGTTCTTTTCTATTATAGCAGCCTCTAAGATTCAATTGTTAATCAACCGAGATATTTCGCCGAAATTTTGCCACATGCTCTTATACTTTACTACATGTTAAATTAGTGAATTACATGTTAAATTAGTTACTCGGTTGATTAGTGAATGAATTTTGGGGACAGCTATAATAAGGAAGTACCAATGATTGCGAAATTAAATGTCTGTTTACTTATTTTATTACATTGAAACTTTTACAGAGAATTTAAAAATTTTCTTACATTATGATATTTTACTTCTACAAACCTTTGTGCCTGCATAACGAGGTATAAAGAGACAACGTTTCGTAAAAATTAATTCAAATTTAAATTTAAAATAATATAAAATTTATTATCATAATTCGCGTAGAAATGAATGCATAAAAATGAAGCTTAAACAGAAGAAAAAGCTGCGAAATAAAGAATGAAATAAGATTAATTTTCATATAATCTTCGAGGGACTATTAACTTACCTTAACTTTTATATTATCTAACTTTTCATTCACTTTTCACTAAATGAGTAATAGATTTTATGACAAAACTTATTGAAAAGTAAGGGTTATTTAGAGAAACTGTAGTTCGGAATTAAACCTGGTGCCTGACTAATCATAAATATATCTTAGGGCCATAATGAAGATATCAAAGCATAATTTGCTTGCTATTACGTCTTTTTCTCAATTTATCTAACTGAGAATTTCATATCAAATCAAGTAACCCAGACCAGATGGTTTGTTTTGGTTATGAGTCACAATTATCAAGTTACGACATCCATTACAAAAGAGTTTTATTCATAATTTCCCATTTTAGAACTTTATTTAATGTTGATCACGATATTCAATAAAATTCCAAAGGCTGCTGAAATCATGGTAAATTTAACTCCATATTAGCAACCGATTAGCAACCGATTTAAATATTTTTAACACTCTCCGCCCCCCACCCGCGAAAAAATTAATTAAAGTTCACTTTTACTTAAATAATTTACTTTAGTTACTTTTGCAAAAACTCAATCTGAGTTTAAAACATTTAATAAAAGGGTACTATCAGGTTTCAAGGGCCGTAAAAAATCGCCAAACTATTGTTGATGCCAATGCTGCCAAAAATCAATGCGGCAACCCTAATAATTGCGGCAAGTAAAAGTAAATAATAATTAATTGATGTTTTAATTTAGATGAAAGGGTTATTTCATATAATACTTTTTATTATTATAATTTATGAAAGATATACATGATGAATGGAAGCATAAGAGTAAATAACTCTTTCAGATCTTATTATAATTTATATAAAATTGCTAAACTAACGAATGATGCGGCATCGCATTTTCGCTACCGACTTATCGCTAAAATAATTTCATCTCGTTGGTTGTTCAAACGTAATTTCTATAATGATGATGCCTTTTCTTTGAAAATATTCTCGGTAAAGTGCAGAATCGCTCACTTATTTGTTCGCCGCTTTTTACAAGGATAAAAACAATTGAATTTTTGTCAAATTTCTTTTACTTTTTAAGTGAAATAGGTCAATGTGTACATAGATAATGTCAAGGGTGTGCGCAGCGCCATTTTTTTTGCACTTCTAGGATTCTTTTTTAAGTGAAAATCGGTTGATGTGCACATGGATACAGAGTATGTGCAGCTCTTAAATACGCATCAAGCAATGGATGATTCTGCAATTTACCCAAAATTCTATTTCCAACTTTTCGTCATGGGCAATTGTTAAATCCGTGTAATGTAATATCCATGTTGTAATCCATGTAATATAAATCCATGTTGTAAATATCAAAAACGGATTTAAAATCAAAAAAGTATTTAAAAATTAAACTAGTATTTCACTGGCGTCATATATAAAACTATATAAACTTACGCAATCTGAAATCAGCGCGTACGCTAGATTGGCGCGTATAACGGGGCGGTTGCTAGATTGGGCTTTTGCGCATACATTTTCGCTGCAATTTTCTTACGGCCCTCAAAACGGAATAGTACCAATAAAAGTTTAAACTATTAAATTACTTTTCCGTTTCGCCGGCGCAAATCTCGCCAAGCAGACTTTATTGGCGAAAACACACAGTATACACATAGAAAATGTTGACAAATGTTAATTCTGAGAATTGCTTATTTTGAAGGCAAAAACATTTTAATGTCGTTTAAAATTTTGTAAAAAAGCCAATAAATAAAGACAATAAATTTGTAAAAAGACATTAATTCAAGAATTCATTATGCTTTCATCGTACAACATCCTGATTCGCCGGTTGATATCACATTACCCCAAGTGATCTCATCTCACGTAAAGTACGATACAAAATCTAATTCTCTCAGTAATTATCTACATGAATTTCAAGTTAAATCTTTATTTGGAATACAAAAGCAAGAAATATTTCAATTAGTTCGAATAGCTTACTCAGAAATTATAACCGCAGTGCTTTATTTCGTTAGTGCATTCTCATTAGAATGGATGAATTTAACCCTTGACTTTGCCTTTTCTATATCGTCTCCATCGGGTGAGCGGTGTGATTGCATCCTAATTGACTTAATTACCGTTCACGAATGATCTTAGGGCATAAAATTGTACTATCTTGTTTTATGTCCCTGTATGCCAGTATTGAAAGAAACAATCAATCTGATAAGAAATGGCTGCGACTTGTTTTGAAAATGTAAAATTTAAAGTAAAAGGTTACCAGCGAGGATATTTCGTTTGGCATCGGTTGTACCATTACTGGCGACTTTATCGCATGAGCCGGCAAAACGGAAAAGTACCATTTTGACTTTATAAGTACCATTTATAAGTACCATTTTGACTTTATAAGTATCTATAACGCAGCCTATAGAGCATTTTGCTCCTCCTCTGTGTTACTCTACATTACGGTGCTATTTCTTTATCCTCCATGAATTTCAGAAAGGGTTGCCGTTCATTAATTCATCTTCGTAACGACTTAAAAATTTTAAAGTAATAACACATTTATGCTAATTCAGAAGTCAAACAACAAAAATCAGCGTTATACCTACAAAATTTTCACAGGACTAGTTTCGATGGTTTTACCGAACCATCATTTTCAGCTGCAAAACCGCAAATGAACAAGATAGGAAATAATGATTAGATAAGATAAGAAAGCCTGGACAAGAATAAGCAAGTGGCGCCATCTGTTGGCGAAACCAGAACTAAAACATAATTTCTCTAAAAGCCGAAGGCAAATTTGGATTGGAATTAGGATCGTTAACTAGAACAGAAAGATTTTTATGAATGTGAAATGCCTCTAGAAAATCCAGTTCTCCAATGGAAGATGTTTTTTGAACAATTTTGGCAGCAGAAAAATTGAAAGTGTGATTTTCGGACCAACAATGTTGAGCAACAGAAGACTTCTGTGTTTCCTTTCTTCTAACATATGCCTCATGTTCTTTGACGCGAAATTTAAGGCTCTCCTAGTTTGGCCAATGTAAATTAAACCACACTGGCAAGGAATCCTATAAATACCCCAGGAATTCATATCCGGAATGGGGTCCTGAGTATAGAAGTTGGAATTTATTGATGGAGAATAAAACAACCCGAAAGTTAATTTCTGCAAAATAGTGCAACTAAGTAATGATGGAAAGAAGGGAATGACAACGAATTTTTATAATCTCCTAAAATAAGCGTGGTGCTTTAGTGTGTTGAGATGAGAATTTTTTAACTGCTTGAAATAATAAGTGGGTGAAAAGCCCCTGTCAATAGCTATTGCTTTTAAATAATTTATTCTTCATCAGCTAGTTTGGAGGAGAAACTGAAGAGCACGGAAAACAGAGGAATAAAATGAAGCTACTTTTGTTTAGTCGGATGACATGATTTAAGTGTGGTGGAAGGCACCGATGAGGTTTACGGTAACTGTAGTACTGAAGTTGGATGTGTTACGTGTGACTAGATGTCGAGAAACGGAAAATTGCAAGTCTCAAGTAACTGAATCAATAGAATTCATGTTTGAAAGAACTTTATTTAAATCATCTTTATACCTTCGAAGGGTAAAAGTATCGTCTACGTAGCGGAACCATATCGGAAGTTAAAGTTCAAAAATTTTGATTCATAAATGCATGTAGATTCAGCCAGGATGGGACTGAGGGGGCTTCCCATGGCTAATTCCTCAGTTTGCTTGTAATATTTTATTTTGGAAACAAAAGTGTTGTTTCAAACAGAGTTGAGTGAGAGAAAATTAGCTCATCAATTTCGATGCAAGAGAATTTCACCCAACATTATTAATCAAGCAGTTAAAAATTCTCATCTCAACACACTAAAAGCCACACTCTTATTTTAGGAGATTATAAAAATTCTGTTGTCATTCCCTTCTTTCTATCAATTAGCTATAAGTTGCACATATTTTGCAGAAGTTTAACTTTCGGGTTGTTTATTCTCCCATCAATAAAATTCCAACTTCTATACTCAAGGACCCCCATTCCGGATATGAATCCTGGGGTATTATAGGATTCCTTGCCAGTGTGGTTTAATTTACATTGGCCAAACTAGGAGAGCTTAAAATTTCGCGTCAAAGAACATGAGGCATATGTTAGAAAAAAGGAAACACAGAAGTCTTCTGTTGCTCAAATTGTTGGTCCGAAAAAACACTTTCAATTTTTCTGCTGCCAAAAATTATTCAAAAAACATCTTCCATTGGAGAACTGGATTTTCTAGAGGCATTTCACATTCATAAAAATCTTTCTGTTCTAGTTAACGA